GAATTTTACTCTATGTAGTAACATTGTATTTCGTTTTGAAAGAAAATTCCTGTCTTCCATTGTAGGCATACCAAATCCCATTCCCCCAACAACGAGTGAGGATTACTTGTACCTTTACATCTTCACCAATATTTGGTGTTCTGAGAGTTTTGAGTTGTACCCATTTAATAAGTGTTTAATGATACCTCATTGTTGTTTTATTTGCAGTTTCCCAATGACATTTGATGTAGAGCATGTGTTCATATTGCATATTTCCCGTCAATATATCTTCTTCAGTGAGCTATCAGTTCAGATCCTTTGCCCATTTTTAAATTGGGTTGTTTGTCTTCTGACTGTTGAGTTTTAAGAGTTCTTTGGAGATTTCAGATACCGGTTGTTCATCTGATACGTATTTTACAAAGATTTTCTCTTACTCTGTGAATTTTGTTTTTATTCTCTTAACACTGTCTTTCTCAAAGGAGGATTTTTTTTTTTTTGATGAGGGAGATTGGCCCAGAGGTAACATCTGTTGCCAGTCTTCCTCTTTTTGCTGATGAAGATTGGCTCTGAGCTAACCTCTGTGTCCATCTTCCTCTACCTTGTATGTGAGATGCCACCACAGCATGGCTTGATGAGTGGTGTAGATCTGTGCCTGGGATCTGAATATGCATACTCTGGACTGCCAAAGCAGAGCATGTGAGTTTAACTACTACACCACTGGGCCAGCCCCAAATGAGAAGGATTTTTCATTTTAATAAATTAATTTTTTTTTTCTTTTTTGGACCTTGCTCTTTGGTTTTGTATTTAAAAAATCGTCTCCAGACTGAAGGTCATCTAGATTTGCTCCTACATTATCTTCTAGTTTATTCCTTTTGCATTTTACATTTAGATCTGTGGTGTGTTCTGACAATTTTTGTGAAAGGCCTGTGTCTACGTTTGTTTTTTCTGTGTCTGTTTGCATGTGGATATCCATTATTTCCACCAATGTTTGTTTAAAAGACTTTCTTTTTCATTTGCTTTGCCTTTCCTTCTTTGTCAAACATCACTTGACTATATTTGTGTGGGTCTATAAGGAAAGCAATTGACTCACATATCCTTCAACCTTGCTAAACTCTCTTATTAATTCCAGGAGTTATTTCTGTTGTGAATTCTTTCAGAGGTTTCACAGAGACAATCATGCCATAGGGAACAAACGTTATAAATTTAGCTACAGGATTCATAAAGACATTCTTTCTTAGGAAGTGAAAGTTCTCCTATATTACTAGTTTGTTATCATAAATGGATGTTGGATTTTATCAAATCCTTTTTTGTTTTCATTTCCCCTTCCTTTCCTTTCTGATATTAGTAGTCTTCCCTCTTTTCTTTGTTATCTTGACTAGATGTTTATCAATTTTATTAGTCTTGTAAAAGAACAATTTTTTTGGTTTTAATTTTCTCCATTGATTTCCACAATGACTTTGATTTCTGTTCTAGTTTTTATAATTTCTTCTATTGTGTTTACTTTGGGTTTAATTTGCTCTTCTTTTTATTGTTTCCTAAGGTAGATGCTTACATTATTTAATAGAGATCTTTGGGTTTTCCACTATATTTGTTCCATGGCATGAATTTGCTTCTAGGCACTGCTTTTGCTGCATCCAAGAACATTGCTATGATATGTTTTTATTTCATTAATTTCAAAATAATTCTTTATTTCTCTTGAGACTTCTTCAGTCATCCTATGTATTATTTAGAAGTGTGTGTTTTTTGAACCTCCACGTAATTGGGGGTTTTCCAACTACCTTGCTGTTATTGACTTCTAGATGAATGCCTATGTGGGGTGAGAGCATATTTTGTATGATTTCCATTCTTTCAAATGTGTTAAGGTGTGCTTTATGTTCCAGAACGTAGTTTGTCTTGGTGAATGTTCCATGTGAACTTGTGAAGAATGTATACTCTGCTGTTGTTGTATGAAGTATTCCATAGATTACAATGAAATCCCATTGTTTCCCAGTTTTGTTCAGTTCACATCTGTCCTTCCTCATTTCCTGCCTACTGGAATTTATAATTTGTGAAAAGGGGTGTCAAATTCTATAGCTATAGTACTGGATTCATCTATTTCTCCTTGCATTGTGTCAGTTCTTGCCTCATGTATTTTGCCCCTCTGTTGTTATACAGGTACATATGAATGAATTGCTGTGCTTTCTGGGATCATAGACTCCTTTATCACTGTTCAGTACCTATCTCTATCTGTGAATTTTCCTTGGTTTGAAATCCACATTGTCTATAATTCACATACCTCTGGCAGGTTTCTTTTGATTAGTATTGGCATGGTCTATTTTTCTCCATCCCTTTACCCTTCATCTATCTGTGTCTTTATATTTAAAGTGGGTTTCTAGGAAACAACATTTATTTGTGTTTTTGGAATCTGATATTACTGTATCTTTCAATTGTATTGAGACCATTGATGATTAAAGTGGTTATTGATACAGTTGGATTAATATTTACCAAACCTTTGACTGTTTTCCATTTTTACCCTTGTTTCTTTCTGTCTTCCACGTTTTTTCTGCCTTGTCTGGCTGAAATTGAGCATTTAGTCTGATTCTTTTTTCTCCTCTCTTAGCATGTCAGTTACACATTTTTTAAAGAACATTTTTAGTGGTTGCCCTTGAGTTTTCAGTATACATTTACAACTAACCCACCTCCTCTGCCAAATAACACTATACCACTTCATGTTGTGCAAGTACCCCTTAACACACTATTCCCAATTTCCCCTTCTCTGTCTCTTGTCACATTGTTGTAATTTATTTCACTTCTCCATGAGCTTCTCATTACCAAATACATTGTTGCTAATATTATTTTAAACAGTGTCATCTGTTATATTAATTTTAAGAAATATAAAAGATATTTTACATTCGTTTTTTCTTTTTTGAATCCTCTACCTTTATCATTTACATTCTTTATAGTAAATTTTTGAACATTTCATTCAAAATAGGTATACTTATGACAAATTTCCTCAATTTATGTCTCAGAAAGTTTTTATTTCTCCTTTATTTTTGAAGGAGAATTTTGCTTGACAGAGAATTCTAGGAGAGTTGTTTTTCATTTTCAAAACTTTAAATATTTCACTCTACATTGTTCTTACATGGTTTTTGAAAAGAAGTCCAACTTAAGTCCAACTTAATTCAAATCTTTGTTTCTTTATATCTAAGGTGTGCTTCTTCCCTGGAATTTTTAATATATTCTCTGTCTTTAATTTTTCTCTAGTTTGAATATGATATCCTTGGGTGTGCAGTTTTTTAGTTTATCATGTGTAGTGTTCTCTGAGCTTCCTAGATGTACAGTTTGCCCACTTTCATTAATTTTAGGATATTTTGGTGATTACTACTTCACTTGTTTCTTCTGTTTCTTTCTGTCTTTCTTTTCTTTCTGGTATTCCCATTTTGTGTAGTTTCAACCTTCTGTTAAAGAGGGTTGTCTTAGGCTTCATGGATATTGTGTTCTTTTTTTGTTCTTTTTGTCTTTGCATTAACTCTGGTGAAATAGATTTTTTGTTTAGTGCAGTCCTTGTTAAGAACAGAATATCTGGGGCATATTTCAAAATGCTTTCCTTCTTTTCTCTTTCCCAATTTTGGAGGCTCGGGTTTGCCCTGTGACCTCAAGGCTCTCATGGATCTAAGAAAAGTTGTTCATTTCAAGTTTGTTCATTTTCTTCTCATGAGACCAAGAATGACAGCTGCTAAGTTCCTTAAGAGTGGGATTAGAAGTTGTCAGGGCATCATCTGGAGTGGCTGGTCAGGAAACACTTCCTCTTGAAGTTGGAAAATGGAGATTTTATGTTCTTTGCAGGAAAGCACTGTGAAATCCTTCACATTTTATAATCATGGCCAAATTTACCATCAAACCATTATGAACTCCTTTGCAATCTGCAGCTCTTAACCTGTTCCTGAAAGGCAGCAAGACTCAGGGTACACAGTTAGTGTTTGACCGGAAAGAGCTCTTATGGCAGATTATTATCTCACTATGTGTACTAAAAATTGGTGGGAAGTAGCCTTGAGGCACTTGAGTATAGGTATTTTTGGTCTAAGTTGTCATGCCTTCTTCTTTGTATCTGAACTCTAATTCCAAATAACTTTCTAGCCCCATCAAATCACACAGAGAGAGAAAGGAAGAACTGAGTCTATGGTAAATATTACGCGAGTTAAAAGCATTGCTTCCCCACATTAATATTTCCATTCACCAGCTGCATCTGATTCCTTATAATGGCCTAGAGTACTTTAGGACAATGTAGCCAGCTGGGCTTTGTTAAAAGTTTGATTTCTACAGGCCTCCTGGACTCTGTTTGGTGATACAACTAGGCAAAAAAGCTTCCAGTTCTTCCCTGTGTTTTTATCCATTGAAACCTCATGCAGATTTGACCTTGTGCCTCATGGAGTGCTGTAAGTAGGAAGAAGATGGAAGAATTTTTCGCACATGGAATCATCAGTCTTTTTTTATGTGTGTGAGGAAGATCAGCCCTGAGCTAACATCCATGCCAATCTTCCTCTTTTTGCTGAGGAAGACTGGCCCTCGGCTAACATCTCTGCCCATCTTCCTCCACTTTATATGGGACACCGCCACAGCATGGCCTGACAAGTGGTGCATCGGTGCGCGCCTGGGATACGAACCCGGGCTGCCAGCAGCGGAGCGTGCACACTTAACCCTACGGGGCTGGCCCCCTCGAATCATCAGTCTTAAAACGATAACATTTGTTTCATTTGTATAGCATTTCTGTGATTTCCTAACATGCCCTGTACCCTGCCATTAGAGAGAAATACGATGTAAAGAGATCACCGTAAAAATGTGTGAATAATTTCCATATGTTCATAATGCTGTTAAATTGATGAATAAGTGTATACAGAAAAACAGTGAGTTTTTGATGATCGCAAGATAGAATTAATGTTTGGAGCTGACAGAATCACACATAACCTTTCTACAAATGGGGCATAGATCCCCAGTGCTGTCAGTCTCATAATCCTACTCTACACATATTTGTGATGTTTTAGAACTCAGTGGCCATTGAGGATGTGGCTGTGAATTTCACCCCAGAGGAGTGGGCTGTACTGGATCCTTCACAGAAGAAACTCTACAGAGATGTGATCTGGGAAACTTGCAGGAACCTGGCCTCAGTAGGTAAGAATGAGGACACTCCTTCTCTCCATCAATTAGAGAACAAGTGTTTCTTACCCATCAACATGGTTCCCAGATGTAGAATGTGGAATGGGGGGATGTTGGTCATGGCTCATCATGGACTTAGAATGTAAAAATTTTTATATAATTCTTTTAAATCAACTTTCTGGTTCTGCATTTCAGGAAAAACATGAGAAGATCATGAAATTGAAGATTAGTAAAAAACCAGGGGAGAAAACTAAGGTGAGTCACACTCACAAAAGAAAGAAGTCTCATGTGAGACTCCTGGTATGTTATGAAATTTTAAAAAGAAGCAAACAAAACAAATAACCCTTGCTTCAAATTTAGCCTTTCTTAGAAAATTTTCACCACATATATTTTCTGAAATGTGATGTAGAGGTTCAGTTTTTACAAAATAGTGTACTTGGAAATAGTATTAATAAAACCTGTAGATGGATATCACTGTTTCGGTAATAGCAAGAGTGATGTCCTCTTACAGGTCATTCGGTATATTCAATCTTTGAGCATTCAGACATGGCAGAAAACTTAAACTTTTCCTATAAATCACAATAAATATAACAAATATTAAACCATTAATAAATCATCAATAATGTGCTTCTCATTTTTTACAGAAGTCGTATAGTAAAGAGACTCTGTGAAAGTGAAGAGGGTAGTCAATGTGGAGAAAACGTCATCCATTTTCCAAATCTCAATCTGAACAAGAAAACTACTGGAGTGAAACCACATGAGTGCAGTGCATGTGGAAGAGTCTTCATGCATCATTCATCCCTTAATATGCACGTTAGATGTCACACTGGACACAAACCATATGACTATCAAAAAGTTGGAGAGAAGCAGTATAAATGTAAAGAATGTGGGAAAGCATTTATAAATCCCTCAAGGCCTCGATCATGCATGATCTTTCACACTGGAGGTGGACCTTATAAATGTAAGGAATGTGACAAAGTATTTATTTCTCCCAGTGCATTTTGAATACATGAAAGGAGTCACACTGGAGAGAAACCCTATGAACGTAAAAAATGTAGCAAAGCACTTAGTTTTCCCAGTTCACTTCAAAGACATGAAAGAAGTCACACTGGAGAGAAAGCCTATGAATGTCAGTAACGTGGGAAAGCCTCGTGAAAATTTTTGAGGATATGCAAGAATGCACACTAGAGGAAAAGCCATGTAAATGTAAAGAATGGTGGAAAGTCTTTGTCATCCTAGTTCTTTCTGAAGGCATGAAAGAACTCACTTGATAAACACCTCTTGAATGTAAACAGCATGGGAAAGACTTCAGTTGGTCTACATCCTTCTATGTGAAACTCCCACCAAAAAGAAATATAAATGTAAGTCATGTGAGAAAGCTTGATGGAAATTAACTTGTACATAATGTTCTAGAAAACTTTCAACATGAAAGAGTTCATATAAAAGCTTTAAATATATTTTTTACGAAGCCTCTTTCTTCAAGTGTCACGTTGGATTGTGGATTTCTGTTAATTACTTTCAGAAATGAATACTGAGGTGAGATGATTCTGCAAGTCATCCTTCATCAATACTACATAAAGATTAGTAGGTGCTGATTTTTCCTTAAATCAGTTAAAAATACTTTCTCTTTAATTTTTTTATACTGTTTTAATTGTTCTGTGTTAAGGGGCCATTGAAAATGACAGTTTGTATTTTGTGGGATTTTCTTACTGGCCTTGTATTGCAGATACTGGATATGCCTAGTCCACTGTATATATTGTTCCTTTCCTAGAGAAAGCTCCTTTTTTGGGGGCGGTGGGTATAGGATCCTGTTTTTACTTTCCATAATATTAAACAGTTGGAATATATTTTTATGTATGGAAAGTTTATCAAAGAATATACTTTCCTGTGAATTCTTCTTTTCATATTTTGGCCTTTGCTGTTTGTCCTTTCTTCTGACTGGTATTTGGTGAATAGACTTTTTTTTTTTTTTTTGAGGAAGATTGGCCCTGAGCTGACGTCTGTTGCCAGTCCTCCTCCTTTTTTTCCCTTTTTCTCCCCAAAACCCCAGTAGATAGTTGTATGTCATAGTTGTACATCTTTCTAGTTGCTCTATGTGGGACACCACCTCAGCATGGCTTGATAAGTGGTGTGTAGGTCCACGCCCAGGATCTGAACTGGAGAACCCCGGGCAGCTGAAGTGAAGTGCGCACACTTAACCGCTCCACCACCAGGCCGGCCCCTGGTGAATAGATTTTGAATTAAGTAGAGGCCTGTGATAGGGCAACAAAATCTAGGGCTAGACACATCACCCCTGTATTGTGTTATGTCAATGAGGGTAATATTAAGAATTAGATGTTTAAGAATCCATCCCCTTTATGGTTCAGTGTTGGAATTCACCAATAGCCTCACTTGCATGAGATTTGGAAGGCAGAAGCAAACAAGGCATTAGGCAGATTTTTGAGCCACCATGCAAGAAGAGACACAGTTATGTGTCCTCTCCAGGACACTATCTTCCAGCCCATTTTCCTGATTCTTTGCCCTTTTAGTCAAAAGTATCTTGAAAACCACTACCAACTGTTTGATTTCCATTTTCTTTGAGGTGTATTTTCCACTGATGTTTTCACAGGTTTCACACCAAAGATCCATTAGAGTCAGGATTTTTCTATAAGGTCTCTTGTGTCCACCAGGAACCTAATTCAGACCTTTGTGGTTGGGAGTATTCTCTGATTCCCCACTTCTCTAGATGATATCTGTCTAAGATCTAGTTTGTATAGGAAACCCCTTATGCTGTTAATAGTGCTAGTGAGCATGTTTTCCTGATTCCCATGACATCTACAATGGGGCACAAAAAGAAGGACCTGGGAGTTTGTTTCTCTGCTGCATTGTGCAGTGGCTGCTTTGACGCTGTTCTTCCATGTGAGAACAATTACCTTTCTCATGTCAGGAAGACAGTGTGTTTCCTGTTACTTGTAGCTGAACGTATTCCCTCAATATGTTTTCAAAATGTTTGATTGTATGTAATTAAACTACGTGCATTTCCGGAACCGGCCCGGTGGCGCAAACAGTTAAGTGCACGCCCTCTGCTGCGGTGGCCTGGGGTTTGCCAGTTTGGATCCCTGGCACGCACCGACCACCGCTTGGCAAGCCATGCTGTGGCAGCGTCCCATATAAAGTGGAGGAAGATGGGCATGGATGTTAGCCCAGGGCCAGTCTCCCTCAGCAAAAAAAAGAGGAGGATTGGCAGATGTTAGCACAGGGCTGATCTTCCTCACAAAAAAAAATAAAAATAAAAATGAACTGTGCATTTCCTTGTGAAATGACTGTTTTTGTAGTTATTTCACTGATATATTTTATCAACTCTTTTCTAAGCCGTTGTATGCAAATAAACATTACCGTGGTTTTCATTTCCTCAGAATATATTAAAATCCATTTTACAGATATACTTTGCAATTTTCTTCATTTACTCATCTCATATTATGAGTCAAATTTATCATGTGCACACAAATTCAGGTATTTTTGCCTCGGGCAAACTTTATTTTTTAGTCTTATTTATAGTTACAATTTTTGTCATTCATTCTTAACCAAAACTTAAAAATCATGGTTTTTTCAGTGCCCTCTTGCCAGTGACCGGCGCGATTGCCCTGTAGCAAAGAGAAGGGCGTAATGAATTCTAGTAAGAATGACCACAGACCATAAAGGAATGTGGGGTATAACAGTAACAGGTTATGCAAAAAGTAACAAATGGCTCTAGAATTTGTCAAAATAACAGTCACTCCATTAGCATCTCCTTTCACACACCCCGTTCCCATAGAGGCTTTAGCAGCCTACTATAATGCATCTAAGAGTCTCCAAACCTCCATGGTGGACATAAATTGCCCAAGGCATTCTTGTACCAAATCTCTTCTCCTCATCCAGTGCTGCACACAATTAGAGAAGCCCCTTCTGGCAACCACAGAGTCTTTTTGTAAATGGAGGCCCTCTCAGGGCCTGAGGTAATGATCTTCCACAGCCAGCTTCCCATTTTGCCTTGGGTCATGAATGCAGGACCCCTCAAGTTAGGTAACCAGAGGCCTCTACATTGAAGAGATATGGGTTCTTACAGCAAAAAGCCAAAAATGGCACCTCTGGCGTGTCACACCTACAGGAGGAAGTGTGTTCCCCTTTCTCTGATTGATGTAATACATTCTGGAGGAGGTCACCTCCTTTTTAGACACATTGGCCACTTGAGGAGTGACTTGGGAGCACATGAATGACCAGGGAGTTCATATACTTTATCAACAGTCTCTACCACCACACCTGATGGGATCTACTGCAGAGTTGCTGTGTTCTTTACCTGGATCAAACAGGCCATCCCTGATCACAGATTGGATCAGATTGATTAGTCAAACTCCAGGTAATCATGTAGCAATAGAGAATTCCCAGGCCAAGAATCAAACTCGTCTGCACATTTTTACAGATCCTTTGCCCATTGCCAATGATCTAGCTGTCTCATCCACCAATAGCAACAACTCCTTGTCCAAGGTCGCCCCTTTTGGCATAAAGAACTCTGGGGTACCTTGTCTCACAATACCCAAGAAAAAGTCAAAGTCACTCCTTACTCTGCACATACTAAACCTCAGTCTGCAAACGCTCATTTCCTTGCTCAGGGCGATAAATTCACTAAAATTTCTGAGACACATACTGACACCTCAGACATTAATCTTGGCGCATGGGCCTCTGTGATATGAAACCATTAAGAGGTCTCTAACCTAAAGGCCTAGGCAAAATTAAAGGGACTTACCTCCCCTACCATGGATAACTTAGGGACTGACCAAGACCCCTGATGTGGAAAACACGTGTCACAGGAAATATAATCCATGCACGTTAAGTCCAGGTGGAGGAAGGGGTCCCTACAGCTGATGACAAATAGACTTTGTAGGGCTCCTCACCCCCTCTGCTGGGCTACTTGCTATGCTCAGACCATGGTAGAACCTTATATAGACAAATTACTCACCCTATCATACGTGATCCTCAAAGCCAGAATCAACAACTCACCAAGACACCCTAGAAACTGTTGACAATATTAGCTCATCTCTTAAAATATAAGACACTGGGCTATTGAAAAAGATATTCAATGGATCTTGTACCTCTCTTACAACCCAGGCTGCAACCCTCTTGGGAAGGCCTAAGGATTTACTTAGACAAACCTCGCTTTCTTCTAAATAGATCTTCGTCCTGTTTGAGGCATTAGTTAGATTCAACCCCCAGTCTTTAGGCCTTATTATTTTGTTCTGATCATCAGGCTTACTGGCATATATAAGTAGAGCCTTTCTGAACTAGGCATTTCTGTCAGAATGGTCACTCCTACAGGTCTTTGGTTTATTGTAATCGTGCTCCCTACCAACACTCTTATAGCCCACTCCTAACATCACTGTAGTCTGTGGACCCTGTGTATCAATATATCATTTTGGTCACACTCCCTCCAACCCCTCCAGCCCACCCAACACACATGTGCTGTTTTCCTACCATTTGCATGCACATGCTCATTGTCATGGGAGTCATTGGTCCTGACCTGGACACACATGATGTCATTCAACAAACACATCATTACTGCCGATCAAGAAATGTCCAACACACTCACAACACATGTAGCAGACAGCTAGTGTTTGAAATGTTTTCCATGAAGGAAAACCCCCTGGCAGCCATGGTAGCTGATAATTAGTTGGGTTTGGACTATGATTAACCAGCTAGTTCTGTTCCCCTAAAAGGCCTGCTTGCTGCATGTGGGCAGGCTGCACTGGCAAGGTGCCACCAAGAACACAACAAATGAGACAGCAAATTAAAATAAACGGTAGCATTATTAAAATATTTGAACAGAGTTCTGGAACCATTCTGACACACTTTCCTGGATCTCTCCAACACATTGGCATGACTGGATTCAAATATTTTTTGAGGTTTTCTCATCCTAATTATAACTTCTTGTGATTTTCAGATGGATTTTTAATTAATATTCAAATTCAAATTCATTCAATGAGATGTGTCAATCTTCAGTCAGTAATCCTCAGAAGTGAACTTTAATAAAGACACTGACCTCATTTTTAATATTTGAGTCTTCATCACCTTGGATACCTGCTCACCCTGTCTAGCTCACAATGGATAAATGAGTCA